AGTCTTGATCTGGAAAGCACGCTAGGCGTCTGAGGAAGGGATGCCTGGCCTTCTGTGAGGAATACCTCCCCAATCTCCAGGCTTGGGCTGCATCTCCTCTGTGATGTCAGTGTTTTCCTAGGCTCTGGAAGAGCGATGGTTCTGGAAACACAGTGAGGAACGCACCCTGGCTAGGGAAGTGCTGGGGAAGCACCCCTCTCTGTCCTGGCTGGAGTCACCCCAGTAGAAAGATCCCAAAGAGTGGGCCTGTCAGAAGCCCATATATTCTCCCTCTGGTTTCATGCTGACTGAGCCATCTCCCATTCCTTCTTACAATATCTGACATTTATGGTGCATCTACCGTATGCAGTATACTAGGCAAACTGCCCGGGATGCACAGATGAAAGTTGTGACCCCTAAGTTTAAAGTTCAGTCATGGAAAGAGGAGGAGGAAAGCAAAGAACGAAAGGTCACACACAGAGGCCAGCAAAATTATGTGAGCTGCTACCGGGTGAGGGCGTGGGGATGAAGATGTTCCAACTAGGAGTCCAGGCCACCTATTTTGGAGATGATCCCCAAGCCAGTTCTCCTTCCTGAGAGCAAGTGGAAAGAGCCCCCTGGACTGAAAAGTTGAGGGTCCTTGGAGGCTACAAAGAGCGGGGACTTGAACCATAAAATCTCCAAAGTCCCGAGAAAATCCCATGCTAAAAAAGTCTTCTCTCCAGGCTAAGCGGGAGTCAACTCTGGCCGCTAGTGTGCTGTGGGTCGGGGAGGGTAAGAGAGCCCAAACGAAACTTGTATGCGTTGTTATGAATGACAAGGCACAGTCTCAGTACAAGCAGGTTAAAAGTAGCTGATTGCTCAGGAGCTTTCTCATAGGTACGGAAGTACAGGAAAACACATAGCATACACAGGGTTCAGTACCATCCGAGGTGTCAGGCATCACTGGGGGGTCTTGGGACATATCCCCAGAGATAAGAGAGGACTAGTGTAAATAGTCCAACTGTTGATATTATCATTATATGAAACCGCAGGACTCCCTCTTCAGATTTGCTACTGGGAGTTTGCGCTCCTGTTTTCGGCCTTGATTTTCCTGATGACGTTTCTTCATCTTGATACCACAGGGTTGCAGGAGACAGGCCAACTCATACACAGTACTCTCTCTTTTCCTCATCATCAAATAAAAAAAATGCAAGGCTCCCTGAAATCCCATCCGTGTCTGTCACCATTAGTGAGTGTGGCTGATTGCAGGAACTCTGGGGGCGTGCGTGCGAACAAGAGGGAGGCAATCGGAGCAAAAGGCTCACTCGCTCTAAAAAATACAGAATATATACATTATGACCATATGTTTTCTCTTCTGAATGTGTCAGCTGGAAGCTGAAAGTCTGGCTTGGGTCTCTGGCCTAAAGCAGCGACCAAAAAGGGGCTATGACCTCATCACCTAGTCTTGCAGCCTCAGTGAGAAACCTCACTCCTCAACTTAGTGAAATCCAAGAAGTGATTATGTCTAAGAATCTAGGGAAGGTCTCATTCTCTTCGCACTTATTACCGCATCCAAAGCAAACACAGCAATGCCTATTAACACCCAAGGTGTCAGCTTGTGTGTGGGTCCTTGGAAATGCAGAAGTTACCACTGGCGGTTTCTATCAGGGCTGACTACACTTAATCTGTCAGAAGGGCTTGAAAGATTTACCCAATTTAAATCCCTTCCATGACCTTCTGGTCTACTGCTGTGCTCTGACCTACCACAGACCAAAACAATCATTCTGTTTGTCAAATTCACGGTTGGCCATTGTGCAAGAGCCCCAAGTTACTCAGGAAAGATCTTCAGAAACGATTACGGCAAATCCCCTGTTATTGTTGGTTGCCTCTTGTTTTCGTTCAGAACCTTGCTCAACTCTCGGTCCTATCTATCTTTCCTTTTAAGTTTTCACAGTGTCTTTTTTGAAGTAAGGGTAGCTGTTCTGGATTTATAAAATGATATAGGGGCTTCATACCAATTTTTTTTTTAACAGAGAGAATAATTATGGGATTCACCTTGCTCCAGGGACTGTGCAAGAAACCAGAGTGGAGGGATTGCATGTTACCAGCATGATGACCTGAGGAAAATGTTATGTCTACGAGGAAACTGAGGTTCAGAGATGTCATTTCCCTTGCCTCAGGTCACACAAAGAGTAAACAGTGGAGACAGAGTTAAAAACCTTTCAGAGCTTTAGCCCAATTCCACACATCGCGTTACCCTGTCTTCTTTATTTTTTATTTTTTAAAAATACCTCCAGGGTTTTGTTTGCTAGCCACAGCTCTAAGCGAGTTTTTCCGTGGTGGTGAACAGTCAGGGAAAAGTCATAGTGCCATCCCAGCAGGAAGGAGAAAGAGCTCTGTGTCTCTCCAGAGGTTGAGAAGACATACTGATGGGCCAGAAATTAACTAATACCTATTCATCAGAGGGGAGAGGGTTAAGACAGAGATGTAGGAAAAGCGGCCTGCAGAGATTTCCTTCTGGTTGGAAAAGTTGGTGTTCTTTATCTTAAAACTAGAAAATCAATTCAATTATAGCACTGAAGATAACATTTCTTTCTAGGTGCACCCAGAGACGGTTGACTGCATCTCTGAAAGTGAAAAATTCTGCTAAAATCTTCAAGCCCTGGCATTCTGATAGATCCTGAGCTTCCCAAATACCCCCATTCACAACAGAGATGAGCCTCAAGTCTTCTGTTGGAAACACCAAGAGTCTGTCTTGAATCTTAAAGTTTGCTGCTGCTGAATCGGAGTCCCTCCCACCCAGAAGAGACTGTTCCCAGGTGGATGCTCTCCTGCCGACAAGAATTGCCGACAGATTTGTAAGTTCCAGAATCTGGAATAGCTACATATTAATTGCATTTAATTACACAAGACTAGAGATTATCAAACATCTTCTAGGTACTTTGTGCTACGTTTCGGGTACTGATGTAAAATGTGAAGGCTAAATAATGCCAATTTCCCTTTTGGAAAGCTTAACTAGTCCACCATTCTACCTAAGGGGGGCTATTCCTCTGCTGTTGTGAAATGAAGCTTTCCTATCTGCACTGGAGTTGTAGGTAACCAAAGAATCCTTGCCGCAGCAGACAGCATTTGGCCCTAGGCAATCTGTGAATAATTAAGCACTGAGTCCAGCTGCAGGTTCTAAAATGTTCAACATTTAATACAGGTTAAGTAACATTTCTTCCTCCCATCAGAGAAGGGGAGACCAGACAAAATAATTGTCTACATCTAGTGCCCAGACTCATCTGATTTTTCATATCAGTCATTTGATGATTACTTTGTGTGCAGACCAGTGTTTAAGAACTGTCCCCCGCCACCCCGAACGTAAGTCTCTGCAGCCACTATGGAAAACAGTATGGAGGGTCCTCAGACAACTAAAAATAGAATTACCATATGATCCAGCAATCCCATTCCTGGGCATATACCCAGACCAAACTGTAATTCAAAAAGATAACGTGCACCCCTATGTTCATAGCAGCGCTATTCACAATAGCGAAGACATGGAAACAACCTCAATGTCCATCGACAGATGAATGGATAAAGAAAATGTGGTACATAAATACAGTGGAATACTACTCAGCCATAAAAAAAGAACGAAATAATGTCATATGCAGCAACATGGATGCAACTAGAGATTCTCATACTAAATGAAGTCAGAAAGTAAGACAATACTATAGGATAACACTTATATGTGGAATCTAAAATATGGCACAAATGAACCTATCTATGAAACAGACTCACAGACTTGTGGTTGCCAAGGGGGAGGGAGTCGGGGAGGGATGGAGTGGGAGTTTGGGGTTAGCAGATGCAAACTATTATATAGAGAACTAATAAACAACAGGGTTCTACTGTATAGCACAGGGAACTATATTCAATGTCCTGGGATAAATCATAATGGAAAAGAATATTAAAAAGAATGTATATATGCTTTATAGGATTGGTTCAGTAAGCGAATTATGTATGAGAGAAAAGCTCAAAAATACCGCCCCCCCCCCCCCAAAAAAAGAACTTCCCCTCTTGACCAACTGAGGCCACAGGCTCAGTAAAACTTTATGATGGCAAAATCTGTCCATCTTGAAAGAGAATGATTGAGCTGAACAAGCAGTGTGGTTTGCTGGAAGATTCTAGGTTCTGTACCTCACTTGCCCAACATTTGCCGGGGGACCTTGGGTGGCTCCCAGCATAGCCGTAAGTCTCACGTTGCTCCCCTGTAACATAAGAGGATTGGCCCCTCTGATGTCTAAGACCCTTTAGAGCTAAGGTTCTATGTATTTATGGCAAAGTACAGAAGAACCTGAAATTGTTCCCAAATATAATGGGAACAGAGCAAATGAAAACCAGCGTAAGAGGTTAAAGAGTGGGGGTGGTGGGCTTTCCTGGTGGCACAGTGGCTGAGAATCCGCCTGCCAATGCAGGGGACACGGGTTCGAGCCCTGGTCCGGGAATATCCCACATGCCGCGGAGCAACTAAGCCCGTGTGCCACAACTACTGAGCCTGCGCTCTAGAGTCCGCAAGCCACAACCACTGAGCCCGCATGCCACAACTACTGAAGCCCGCGTGCCTAGAGCCCGTGCTCTGCAACAAGAGAAGCCACCGCACTGAGAAGCCTGTGCGCCGCAATGAAGAGCAGCCCCCGCTCGCCGCAACCAGAGAAAGCTCGCGCGCAGCAACCAAGACCCAATGCAGCCACAAATAAATAAATAAAATGAATAAGTGATAATAAAAAAAGAAGACGGTGGTGAAGAGCCAACATTTGCCAGCACAGACCTGGGTTCAAGTTCTGCCTCTACTGCTTACCGACTGTATAACCTCAAGGAACTCTCCCTCTCTAAACTTCCAGTTCTTTCTTTGTAGAAAATATTTAGTAATACTACATGCCTTGTAGGATGGAGGTGAGCATTAACTCTGATAAATATGAAGCACTTGATACAGTTCTGAGATAGAACAAGCTGTCAATTGCTGAATCCAAATAACAATTTAAGAAGTAACTGGAACATACCTGTATCTCAGGTGTCTGTTCCCTCGGGCTATTTTCTTTGGTCTGTCCATCCTCCTCTTGATGGGCTCCTTAACTCCTTCTGCTAAGCCTCTCAGATTTCAGTCTTCTGTCTGAAAAGCAATGCCAGGATGTTTGTTAATTGTTCAAAGTAGGGCCATCTAAGTTTCCTCTACAGTCCACAGAATTCAGAGCAGGTCTTTCATTGGACATTAGGAGGGGTATTTGTCTATGATGTATACATGCTGGCGTCAAACTGGTCTCCCCACAGCTTGTACACATACTCCCCAGTCTGTTCTATGCAATGTACCCAGACGATCACACTCCTCTAAAGTGCCACTCTCTGTAATAGCATCCCACTGATTTTATTCGTTGATAAAGCAGAGATTCTTAACACAGCCCTGCTTATTTCAGACCTTCGCAATTTCACTAGACTCACTTTGTATCTTTACTTTCCCCAATGATAAGTTTCCTCTTGGAACCTTAAAAACAACATGCTCTTCTGTGTATCAGGACTATTGATTGACACAATGATTCAGCCACCTGAAATATCAGCCCCCTCCATGTACACTCTTGCACTTCATTCACAGCCCAGCTCAAAAGCTTCTTCCTCCAGGGAGTACTCCTTGATATATATATATATATATATATATATATATTTATATTTATATATATGTATTTTTTAATTGAAGTATAGTTGATTTACAATGTTGTATTAATTTCAGATGTACAGCACAGTCATTCAGTTATATATATGTGTGTATATATGTGTGTGTGTGTTTATATATATATATGCATTCTTCTTCAGATTCTTTTCTCTTATAGGTTATTACAAAATATTGAGGTTATTCCCTGTGCTATATGATAGGTCCTTGTTGGTTATCTATTTTATATATAGTAGTGTGTATATGTTAATCCCAAACTCTTAATTTATTCTCCATCCATCCAAGACAAGATGAGGACTTCTTGGTAAATGTGTTCATGGGAGGCCTACCCTGTTTAACTCCTTGTTTTAAAAAAGCAATCATTACAAGGAAAATTTACGGTGCAATCCATAATCTGATATCTAACCTTTCCTCCTCCCCAGTTCAGGCTGGGCCTGTCCTTTCCACTTCTACGCTCACACTGCCCAATCCAGTGCCCGGCGCACAGTGGGGATTCAATGATGGTCAGCAAATGAATGACTGGCTCTTTGAACGAAGACATATACATACAAAATGAAGGAGTTTCATCCTGTACTGCAAGATGTGGAGTTGGATGCTCATACATTATTTACAAAGTTAGACGTCTGACAGGAACAAAATGATCCTGAGAGGCTCCAGGATGTACAGTTGTTGAAATGTCACCTTTAAGACGTGGGTATTGATTTACAGTTTGCATTCTTAAGTACAGAGGATTCTGTACGAGCAGGGGAAAAAAAAAACAAGTTTTGCATCTCAGTGAAGGAGAAGGCTAAGTCAGGTTTGGTATCATCTGTCGGAAGGCTGTGTGGGGAGTGTGTGTGTGTGTTATGCGCACGCACGTGCTCATTTAAGAGGTTTACACTGACTGGCTTTCTTCATGGTAATGAGAAAAAAGCTTTAAGGCTTACGTTTTTCATCAGCAGTACAATTGTATCTGCCTCTGCTCAGCACAACGTTTTGATGGTTCATCCAGGTTGTGATGTGTCAGTAGTTGGTTACTTTTTCTTGCTGTGTGGTAATCTAGTCTATGGCTATATCACAAGTCGTTAATCTGTTTCATTTTGATGAACATCTGGGCTCTCTTCATAGTTGTTTATTAATGAAATATCTATAAATATTCTTGTTAAGAGTCTTGTTGTGTATATATGCTTTCATTTCTTTTGGGTCAACATCTAAGAGTGATATTGCTGGGTCATGGGGTAGGTATAGGTTTACTTTTATGATATTGCTGGACTGATTTTCAGGGTGATTTTACCATTTTGCACTCCCAGTGGGTCCACATCAACATCTGGTTCTGCCAATCTCTTTTATTTTAGCCACCCTAGCGGGTGTATAACATTATGTCATAGTTTTAGTTTGTATTTTCCTGATGACTAATGTTGAATATTTTTTCATGTGCTTACTGACCATTTGATATTTTTCTTTGTTAAGTTCTTATTTGAGTCTTCTATTGTATTTTATTTATTTATTTATTTATTTATTTTGCGGTATGCGGGCCTCTCACCGCTGTGGCCTCTCTCGTTGTGGAGCACAGGCTCCGGACGCGCAGGCTCAGTGGCCATGGCTCACGGGCCCAGCCGCTCTGCGGCATGTGGGATCTTCCCGGACCGGGGCACGAGCCTGTGTCCCCTGCATTGGCAGGCGGACTCTCAACCACTGCGCCACCAGGGAAGCTCCTTCTATTTTATTTTAAATGGTGTCATTTATCTTTTAAATATGAGTTTCATCGGTTATATATGTATGTATATATTTTGAATATGAATCTTAAGTCAGATATATGTATTGCAGTTATTTTCTCCAAGTCTGTGTCTTGCCTGTTCACTTTTTAAAGTTAGCTGTCTTTTGAAGCACAAATTGCTTAATTTAATTGAAGTCCATTTTTACCAATGTTTGTGTTCTAAGAAACCTTTGCTCACTTAAATGTTGTGAAGATATTCTCCTAGTTTCCTTATAGAAGCTTTATAGTTTTAGCTTTTATGTTTAGGTCTGTGAACCATCTCCAATTGATTTTTGTCTATGATGTAAGAGATGAATCAAAGTATTTTTTTTCCATACAAACTTCTTTCCCCACTGAATTGCATTGGTCCCTTTGTCGAAAATTAACTGACCATTCCTAATTAGTTTACATTTAGCTATGTTCTTTAGATTATTAACATCCATTGTATGTGTATGATAAAAATATTACATAATGATGTGCTACTGTACATCTCTTCCCAACTTTGTGTTCACTGAGGTCAGGTTGGTAGCTTGAAATCAGCCATGCTGGGAATATTTACACCATGGAAAGAGGCAAACACTACAAATCAAGGCTGAGTTTACCGTGGTTTTGTTTCTGCAGAATTGAGAACGTGCTGGAAACAATGTTAATAGTACAGATTAACCTTAAAATCGTGTCTGCAACTATGACAATGTGAATAGCACAAAAATTTGAGGGAATATTCTTCCAGTATTTGAAAGCTACTATTCGGGTCAACAAATTAGTCGCACATATCATTAATGAATCAGCAAAGCTCTAGTAAACATCATTCACCTTCCTCTTTCCATTAATGTAAACAGAAATATCAGCAAACATTCACACAGGAGCTATCCTCACCTTCCTGTTGCAATCGGAGGTGTGCTTCGCAGCTGAGTGCAAGAACGCCGAGAGAGAGCTTATACACTGCAGGCTGCTATGCAAACTTGAGGATTATCGTTAGATAACATTCAAGGTCTCGGCCAGTTTGCAGAAAATTAAGAAAAAACTTTCCGGGGGAGGGGCCCTGATGGTTTTGAAGGAGGAGGTAAAAGGGCCATGCATCCCAGGAGGACAGCCCAGCTGAAGGTTCAGCCTGAGCAAAAGCACACAGGTGGGGAGGCCGTCTTGGAAATGGTCCTCCCTCCAGGTCGGACAGGGCGATGGCAGGTCAGGGCTGATGGTGGGGAAAAAAGCAGGGCAAGTTGCACTGGAGTAATTCTGTGAACTCCAAACTGCAGAGTTTGTACTTGTATCAGAAGGCAGTAGGGAGCTGGTGAAGATCTTTGAGCAAAAGGAACTCACACGGCCAGAGGTGTAGTTCCTGATGGACTGTTAATCTGGCAGCTGGAAACAGGCCACAGGAGCCCAGACTGAGCCAGTGGTCATCAGAACAGAAAGGATATGAGTAATGGAAGAAATATATCCAGGGTAGAGGTAACAGGACTGGGAAAAATAGTTCTACTTTAAGTGTTTTTAAGTTTTATTTTAATCTATAATTTTTATTTTTTATGGAGGTTTGAGGATGTAGGGAGGTGTCAGTGAATCCGAAGAGTGTAAAATAAAGACATTGAGGGAAAGTACTCTGGAATTTTTACATCAAACCCCCATTTTTCTTCATTTGAAGAATCTGGGGCTATTGAGAGTGTTTCTACTCCAGTGAATACTTACGTATTTTAACTAATGTCCGTCTTAACACTTATTTACCACTTCCTTTCTAGGGACTTGTTATTTAATAAAAGGAATAATATAAAGGCTTGCTTTTTTTTTTTTTTTTAAACCAGAAATATTTAAAGAATGCTCTCTGTTTGCCTTTGAGAGCATTCTGGGCGAGGTGACTTTAGGCCATAAAGACTTGAGCGAGCCTTTGGGTCATGTCCTGTCACTGAGCTCTCTGGCTTTGTCTTGTTTACTTGGAATACACAGGAGATATTGTGGAGAGCACTTCATTCTCAGGACCATGAAACCAGTCAGGCATAATTCTCGAGAAAAAATATATTCTTTTAAAAATGATTTCTTGTTGGAAACTATAGTATATTAGAATACTTTAGAAGTTTTAGACGTTCACAGGGGAAAAAAAATCCTGAAAAGAATATTCTCATAGACCATACACAGACCATAAGCAACTGGTGAACTGTTACTGCAGCTACACTGGTCAGAAAGAAGGCATGTCTTTTTTTTTGTAAATCAGATTGCATTATTTTAAGTCATCTTCTTCCTTCTGTGATGACAAAAAATATGACTCTAGGTTGTCAAGTGATTCATACAACACACAGGTAAACAGTGGAATGCAGGGGCTCAGAGGGCTCTTTGTAGTGTCAGAATATCTGGGCCTATATCTCTGCAGCTTTATTGTTCTGTGGCCTTTGGCACACAGTGTCTTAAAACTCTGTTTCTCTACTGTAATATAGGGAAAATAACGGAAATTAACCCCTGGGGTTGGTGTGACTGTTAGGTGAGAGGATATGCGTAAAGCATTTAAGAATAGCACCTGGCTATATGAGAGTTAGTAATAATTTAGTAATCACGGTCATGATTTTTTTTTTTTTTTTTTTTTTTTGCGGTAAACGGGCCTCTCACTGCCGTGGCCTCTCCCGTCGCGGAGCACAGGCTCCGGACGCGCAGGCTCAGCGGCCATGGCTCACGGGCCCGGCCGCTCCGCGGCCTGCGGGATCTTCCCGGACCGGGGCACGAACCC